TGCAGAGACTGCCTGTTGTGTGCAGCTAGCAGTGGTGGCCCCACACTTGTCCTTTGAGTCATGGGGAGAGCATCAGCACGTGAGCAGCTTAGTGGGTTGGGAAAGTGCATCTGAGCACAGAGCCTCAGGAGTGTACATAACTGTGCGCACACAAGTACATGTGTGCACAGAGCCTCGGGAGTGTGCATAACTGTGTGCACACAGTACATGTGTGCACAGAGCCTCAGGAGTGTGCATAACTGTGCACACAGTACATGTGTGCACAGAGCCTCAGGAGTGTGCATAACTGTGTGCACACAGTACATGTGTGCACAGAGCCTCAGGAGTGTGCATAACTGTGCGCACACACGTACATGTGTGCACAGAGCCTCAGGAGTGTGCATAACTGTGCACACAGTACATGTGTGCACAGAGCCTCAGGAGTGTGCATAACTGTGCACACAGTACATGTGTGCACAGAGCCTCAGGAGTGTGCATAACTGTGCACACAGTACATGTGTGCACAGAGCCTCAGGAGTGTGCATAACTGTGTGCACACAGTACATGTGTGCACAGAGCCTCGGGAGTGTGCATAACTGTGCGCACACACGTACATGTGTGCACAGAGCCTCAGGAGTGTGCATAACTGTGCACACAGTACATGTGTGCACAGAGCCTCAGGAGTGTGCATAACTGTGCACACAGTACATGTGTGCACAGAGCCTCAGGAGTGTGCATAACTGTGTGCACACAGTACATGTGTGCACAGAGCCTCAGGAGTGTGCATAACTGTGCGCACACACGTACATGTGTGCACAGAGCCTCAGGAGTGTGCATAACTGTGCACACAGTACATGTGTGCACAGAGCCTCAGGAGTGTGCATAACTGTGTGCACACAGTACATGTGTGCACAGAGCCTCGGGAGTGTGCATAACTGTGCGCACACACGTACATGTGTGCACAGAGCCTCAGGAGTGTGCATAACTGTGTGCACACAGTACATGTGTGCACAGAGCCTCAGGAGTGTGCATAACTGTGTGCACACAGTACATGTGTGCACAGAGCCTCAGGAGTGTGCGTAACTGTGCGCACACACGTACATGTGTGCACAGAGCCTCAGGAGTGTACATAACTGTGCACACACAAGTACATGTGTGCACAGAGCCTCAGGAGTGTGCACACAGTGCATATACACAAGTACATGTGTGCACAGAGCCTCAGGAGTGTGCCTACAGTGCACGCACACAAGTACTTGTGTGCTGAGCCTGCCGCAGCCCATAGCTGAACTACTGAGTCATAAGAACCTTAGAACCACTGATGGTCAAAACCCCTTATTTTATGAAAAGGAAACGGAGATACAGAGAGGCCAAGTGACGGCCCAGCGTTACCGTCAATTTAGTTTCGTGCCCCACTAGCAATGCTTATTTTAACCCAGTCATTCTAAGTATATTTCTGGCCTTAACAGAAAAAACGATCCCCTTCACTATTCATAGGATGCTCACCGATGTCCATCATGGCGGGCCTAATCCGATGAAAAGAGTCCTTCTGCCTGTCTACCCACTGTTTCTAGCCCACGCACACTCCCTTGGGAGCTATGGGCTGCAGCCTCCCCAAGCCCTTCCTGACGTAACTCTCCATGGGTCACTTCCCACCTGACTGAAGCTCTCCTGTGTCCCCAGGTGGCTAGCCTGAAGAAGCAACTGGACGAGGCAGGATGGCGGCAACAGCAGCAGGCCCACAGTGACTAGACATTCTGAGCTAAGCAATGGCCTCCACTGCAGTACCTTCGCTACCTCCCTGTGCTGGGTGGCCTGCAGCAACCAGCCGGAACAGCAGGCTCTGGGGGGGGGGGGGCTTAGAGCCCTGTGCTACTGGGGAAGCTGGTGCTATGCCCACTTGGGGGGGCGGCAAGCTCAACAAGCATTGGTGTGTCGTGAGAAGATGCACATACAGGCAGCTACCAACCAAAGCATGCTATTCCTTCAGCTCCTCCTCAGACTGCAGAAGTCCTGCCTGTGAAGAACACATAGGTTGGGCTGGACCACGTTGTTGGTCACTGCTCTTTAATATTCCTTCCTGCTGCAAGGAGCAGGCACGTTGACCACCCCTCAGCCCATAACAGCCCGGGGATCCATTCCCACATTGGCCCTGCTACTGGGCCAAGCACTGGTGACCGGGCCCTGTCAGACCAGCTCCCTCACCACGGGCTGCATTCCATGCCCTCAGATCTGTAAACACAGGGAAACACATGGAAAACATTTCCACTGGCAAGAGCCAAAAACACAGTGTCCTGCGAGGCCAGCGGCCACACCCCATATCCAGAGGCCACAGACTCTTCCACATCCAGGAACTGCAGTCCCGGTGCCGTGGCAGGTGGCTGGAAATGGCTCAGCTACAAGTCCGTGACTTGCTGGCCATGGGAGATAAGAAGCTGTTCCAGCATCTCCCATTTCCACACAAAAAGTGCTGGCAAGTGCCAGTAGGGAATCCTGCTCTGGTGCAATGGAGACACCGAGGCCATCGTTTTGCCGGAACCTGCTCCTGCCTCACCTGATGGCATCTGTAAACCTCTCTCCTATTCAGCAGTGGTCAGAATGGCTTCTCTTCCCCAGGCTCTTTGGCATTGTAAATGGCATTTCCAGTACCTCTAGGTGATCTGTGAGCCTGGTAAATGCTTGCCTACACCACAGGGTGCAGGTTGCCCCACGACTTGTGCTTCTGCTCAAACCTCCCAAAGCATCTTCAAGGATGCTGGCATGGGGCAGGAAAGGCCAGAGCTCCTGGAGCTCATCCAGTCACAGTCATGTAGCTGTGGCCGAGGTGTATGACAGCCTGTCGTTGACTCCAAGACCGCCAGACTTAAAACCAGTCATCCTGTCAGACCTTTGGCTGAACTTAGGAACCAGACCCTGCGCAGCCGAGGTGGGAAGCAGGCTGGTTCACTGAAGACCGTGTGAAGAAAGATCCTGAGGCTCTGAAAGGAAGAGCACAAGGACCCTTTGGCAGTGGCTTCCCTGGACAAAGGATAAGCGGGCGATGGCAAAGGTGGCCTGCTCTATGCCCACCTACGGTTTCCAGGCACCAGCCAACACTGAGAGTGGATGGCCTGACCCATCCAGGACTGAGAAAGTGGGGCTTTCTACTTGGGCCTCACCTTCCTCCTTCCCTTGGCTGTAGTTCCCTTGGAATAGTATTGACCTCTCCCTGCTCAAGGATCCAAGAGTGACCCAGAAGCTGGCGATTGGCACAGGAGGCCAGGGAGCTCCTCCATTGCTCATTCAAGGAGCCCACGTGCAGTGTCAATGCCTCTTCCTGTCCTCGCAGGGCTCACTGGTATCCCGGGGACATCAGTGGGATTGAAGCTGCCAGCTGAGGAGGTATCCTGTAAATGTACCTGGAAGCTGAGGACATGCTTTAGCAGTGAGGGGTCTGGGTACTTTTCAGCACCAAAGTGAAAGACGCTGTGGTCCAGCCAAGGTGCTCCCTGGTGATCTGGGGCCTTTACACGGGGTGCTCGGAAGAACATTGAGTACAATGAGGGCTTTCGAGAATGCTGCGCTTTGAGTATTTGAATCACTGCGGGGAATATTGCTGTTACTTATTCAACATAAAAGAATGTATTTGGGGAAAAGGGATTTTTCTAAAGAATATATTGCATTTCTCTAAACATTTTCGAAGGCGTGTGCACATTTGTGTGTGTCAGAGTCTGGTGACTCCTGCCCTGAGCAGAGGGCTGGTGCTTGTGAAAGGCTTTCCCAGCCACGCTCTGAGACCAGCATGTGGGGGTGAGGAAGCTGCAGCTGGGCCAGGATCAGATAGGTAACTATCTGTTGGTCAAACCCAGGACCCCACAGCTTATTCCATTCGGGCCTTGCCCAGTGGAGCTGCAGGCACAGGAACGCAGACTAAAGAGGACAGGCAGAGGTGAGGCCAACGAAGGAGGCAGCTGGGGTGAACGATTCAGGCTATGCAGGTGGTGGGGGACCCAGCCTTCTGGCTCTTGTCCTCCCCAGAGTCTGGGAGGAAAGGGTTATGAAACCTCAGTATTAGAAATACCCAGTCCCACTTCCAAGGGAAGCAGGCAGTTTCTTTTTTTCTTTTTTTTTTTTTTTTTGGACCGCCCACATTTGGTTCCTGGCCTGTACGAAGTCTGATGGATCCCAACATCCATTTGAGAGGTGCTGACTTCAGATGGGTGCCTTAGCTCTGCCCCTAACCTGAGCAATCTGTACAGGCTCTCTGGATGTCTATGAAAATGAGAAAGTGGCCCTCAGGCCTGGTCCTGCCACAGTGGTGCCCCAGGGCTCCTCGTAGAGCCTGGAGTTAACACGTATGTTGTTAGACCTGGAACCCATGTGTGGCTCCAGAGATGAGCCTCTGCCTGCTCATCCCCTCCAGGGGTTGAGGAGCACAAAATACAGGCGAGTTATCTCCTGGGGCTCTGAACACAGTAGAGAGACAGACAAATAGGTACACATACACACAGACGGCCAAGAATCAGGCATTGATCCGGTTCTTACCAGAGATAACACAAAATCTGACAGACACATGCCATCGTGCAACCTCCACTGAAGGATCTGGGACATACTGAGGGTACTAACATCCTTATTCTCTTGACCCGGGGGCTCCGGCCACGCCCACCCCTGGGATGCCCCAGTCTGGAACCACTGGCCTTACCAGCCTCTCAGGTCAGTGTAGGGAGAAGACAAACAGAACAGAAGGGCTTGGGCCCAGACTGAGAGCTCAGTGTCACACCAAGATTGGTCAGCGTCAGAGCTGGAGCAGGAGGCAAAGGCTCCTCTTGACTATGCTGGAGCAGGATGCACTTGACATGCCCTGTTTATTTGAGATGTCTAAAACGCTGACGTTTTTCTTAAAAATACATCCCGTGCGGTGTGACGATGACGATGCATCTGAGAAATGTCACTGGTCAACTTGGTCACTGCAGAGCATCACGGAGTTTGTCACACAAACCGAGGTTCCTGCAGTATTCCTGGGTGATCCAGTCTTTGGAGACCATCTGGAATATGTGATCCGTACCTGACAGGAAGATTGTTATACGAGAAAATAAAACCTCGCAGGAGGCAAGTAAAGATCACACCGCCGCACATGATCCGAACCCCACTCCTTCAGAGGGGAAACCTGAGCTGTTCCCGCCTCCAGAACACACACTTAGGATGGTTGTAAGGGGCACGCTGCTCCGAATGCTATTTCCCAAATGTTTTCCTTGGCACGATGTCATCGGAGTTTTCCCAAGGCCTTTAAAAAATATCCCAGCAGCGTGACTTTATCAGCTGTGGTTTCTCCAGGTCTACAGGCCTATCCTGTGTCAGCTGCCTAGGTTTTCAGGAAGCAGGAAATAGAGTTGTCCCTGAAGGAGCTGGCCTCCAAGGTACCTGGTGGAGCCCAGGCCTGCATCTGCACGTGTTCCTGGCCACCCTGTACCTCGAGTGGACTTGGAGCTTCCCATAGGCCAATTCCTGCATCACTGCCCACTCAAGCAGGTGGGAAAGCTCTGCCTGAGCCTCACCTGCGTTGGCCTTTTCAGTTCCCATTTGCTTGAAACAAAGCAAGTTGTAGCCATTTGGGGAGCACATGCTGAGCATCAATAGCAAAGGTCACATCATGGGCACTGGGGTTGGCAGGCCCCACGTGCAGATGCTCTGCAGGTATGGCGTCCTTCCCCTCTGTCTAGGCGGACTGTCTAGTCTCACCTGTGGGTACACTATGTGCTTCTCCTCAGGAGCAGGGCCCCACCTGCCCTGGGCCCTGAGGCCTCTCCCACCCCATCCTGGAACAGTCAAGGGTCACTAGTGAGGAGGGAGCTTCTGTTTGGACCGCGTGATGGAAAGAGCTGCTGCAGGGGAGCGTGGGTTTCTCCAGCTACATCCAAAGGGAAGGCGGAAAGAGGCAGGGGTGGGCGGCAGCCTCAGGCCCGCTGTGTGGGACGAGCTGACTAGCCCAATCCCCCCGACCAAGCAGAACAACGATAGTGTTCCCCATCTTGACCTTCACGGTTTCCTAAGGCCTGAACATCTGGTGGGTGGCTCTGGGGCTCCCCCACCAAAACAGGCACACACAGTCGGGCCCTAAATTAAAGTGTCACAGGCCTCTTGGGGGGCTCAAGTTTCCTGAGAACATGAGCCTGCTTGATAAAACGATTTTGGTTGTGATAAATGTGGATTTTCTGTGGTAGAGACAAAGGCGCCCTTGAGTCCAGGGGGGGACCTAAAACAGCACGTTGCTGAAAAGTATTTCCTGACAATATTTTTAGCACCTGAAAAAAAAAAACTATTTTCCCCTCGATTTTTGCCCGTGGGTCTTTGTGTGGGGTGTGTGTGTGTGTGTGTGTGTGTGTGTGTGTGTGAAATAATGCCCAGCAACAACAGTGAGGTCTGTGTTAGCCCCACTCCACCCCCAAACGCTGTCTCCCAAGCCTCACTGAAAGTCTGCACAGGGCACCCAGTTGGAGATAGAGGTCAGTGCCACCTCTCTTGATGGAGATCGGAGGACCCAGCCTGCAGCTGTACCTCCCCACAAGCCCAGTTCTGAGATCAGCCTGTGTCCTCTACCCCGCAGCGGGTCAGGGGGTTCTTGTGGGAAGCAGTCCGGACCCCACTTGCTGCCCACTGCTTTCCATGCCTGGAAGGATGGTCTTCAATCAAGGGATCTATTGAACAACACTGTGTACATGGCAGTGTGCTGAGTCCTGAGGCACCCCGGAAGTTCCCAAGCTGACCCTAGCCCAAATCCAGACGTGGGGCTTTGCTGGGACCCTCTGAGGCACCTACGTGGGGGAAGGGTGGCAGGGCTGAGGTGGGGCCGGGCACTCAGGGTAAAGCAAAGCTGTACACGGTTGGAGACAGCAGAGCTGGCTAGTGACAGATTCTGTTTAGTGTCCCAGGGGCAGGAAGGCTAATCTGTATTCCCCTAAACTTCCACCCTTGGGACTGCATTTCCATGTGAGAGAGGAGACTGGAGCTTCCTAGCAGGCGCGGAACCCAACAAAGAGGCTAGATAGAGCTCTTGGGTACCGGGTATAGTGACCAAGCCGGCTGGAAGCTCTGGGCTAGAGGATGCCTTGAGAGGCCTGGTCCTGATGACACTGACTTGGCCTGGTCAGTGAAGCCAGGGAACTTCCCACAAAGCACTCTTAAATCCAGGAGCCTGGCCCAAGGGCTGATCTTTTGTAGTTGTTGTTGTTGTTGTTTGGTTTGGTTTGGTTTTAGAGACACAGTTCTCTGTGTAGTTCCCTGACTGTCCTGGAACTCACTCTGGCCTCAAACTCAGAGATCCACCTGCCTCTGCCTCCTGAGTGCTGGGATTAAAGGCGTGCGCCACCTCTGTCACCAGGGGCTGATCTTCTATAGCTAACTGTAGAGGTGAACCTTTCCCGTCTCCAGCCTTGGTTTATCCCTCTGCAAAAGGGGATCGCCACACAAAGTGAGGTGTATGGGCAAGAGCAAGGCAAGCCAGGCACTAGGCTAGGATGGAAGGAATTGGTCACTTTCAGGCTCTTGCCATTGCAAACAAAGATGTCCTTAAATTTAGTGCCTGTCCCTGACATCACAGTGGTAAGGCTGCTGAGAACAGAATCTGTATAAGCTAGGAACCACTGACTGACACACATAGAACTCTCTGCTATATCTTAAAAAATAGCATGTAATGTTCCTTGCTCTAACTGAAAGACAGCACACGCTTGTTAGAGAGATTTCAGGAAACACGGAAAACGCAAAGCCAGCATAAAACCACCCAGAATCTCAGTAATGGCAGCTGTTACTCTTGCAGGTTTTTTTTTTTTCATCTTCTTCTTCTCTTTGAGAGAAATCATCTTGCCTTTGGAGATCCCAGATTTGGCTTATAGCTATACGTCACCCAATAGCAGGATGTGGGAGTGGACAAGAAGGTGGGGACTGAGGCCCTAGGAGTCAAATCCCTGTAGTGATTCTGGGGACACAGAAATGGATTAGATTGCACTCCTAAGGCAGGACAGCCACTTAAAAAGCAATTCTCATGATGAGCAAGGAAGGTTAAGGCACCATAGCAACTGATGTGCCCCTGGGCCTTGATACTGGCCTATCCCACAGGTCTCCCTGATACTTTCCAGCTGTGATAGGTGTCTGATCCCTTCAGATAAAAACAAACAAACAACAAAAAAAAAACCCTTACATAGGGAGAAAGCTGTGTAAGTCTTCAAGTCTCCCAGGCCCAAGGTTCACCTTCAATGAAACCAGATAAGGAACAGACCCTAGGACAGGCTTCATCTGGCATTGAAAGTTGGTGACCTAGGCTAGGATTGGGGTGTGGTGGGCACACTTGTTTCATCTAAGTGCTGCAGGACAAAGTGGGCCCAGACTGACATTCTATCAGGGAAAGATGCTCTGGACAGACAGGGACCCAGAGGACACTCAGGAAACCTGTCCAAAATCAGGCCTTAGGGCAACCAGTCAGCTTCAGAACTGCTGGATTAGCCCAGGCGCCCCTGGTGGGCAAGCCCCAAGCTGGTGCCTAGAGAAGGCAGTCCCTCACCTCATGAATGCCCAACTGCAAGGGAGCTCCAGAAGCTAGGGGGTCTCGGGGCTGGAGGGAGAACCAACCCAGAACTAGTCCGACTTTAAGAGCCTAGAAACGGGGAGACCTCGATCCGGCTCCCTCCCGCCAAGACCAGCAAGTTAAAACTGCCACTATTTGCATGACCCCGCCTCTTCCCGCCCCTCCCGGGTGGCCGCCAAGGCTGACTATTTAAACTCTGGGACCGGAGGTGGGCCGGCGGTCCGCGGTCCTGCCTCGCTCCTTCCTAGGCAGCGCTGCGCCCAGAGTGCAGCGCGAGCGAGCTAGCGAGAGCCGACAGGCGACGGTGCGGCCAGTTGGCCGTGCGGTGACTGCGGCCACCTGCCCGAGCACCCTGGTCCGCCCTCAGAGCCCGGCGATGCGCCGCGGCGCCGCATGGGCGCTGCTGCTGGCCGCAGCCCTGGGGCTCGGGGCTCGCGGGGTGCGCTCTGCGGTGCCCCTCGCCGACTTCTACCCTTTCGGCACGAAGCGCGGCGACGCCGTCACCCCAAAGCAGGACGACGGCGGCTCGGGGCTGCAGCCCCTCTCGGTGCCCTTCCCGTTCTTCGGCGCCGAGCACTCCGGACTCTACGTGAGTAACCCCGAGCTCGAGGGGGCTCCAGGGAGGGCGTCGCTGCCCTCCTCCCCAACTCCCGCTGCTGCTGCAGCCAGCATCTTGGCACCGCAGCAGCCAGAGGTGGAATGAGGACAGCGCTTCCTCTCTCCCGCCGCCAAGGCCGGACAGCGGCTGGCTGGAGAGGCGTGGGCAGGGCGGGGCGAGCAGCCGCCAGGGCACCTAGGCGACAGCCAGGCCAGAGGAGCGCGGCGCGCCCCTCCGGCTCATGGCCCGACCTGTTGGGACATTGGCAGAGTTGTTCGCCAGGCATCCACAGAGCTACCAAGTGGGGACCCTCGCTCCTGTTCCTTCACAGAGCTATGTGGCAGTGGGTATATGGCCTCTGGTCACAGTTTTCCCAGTGGGGCATCTGGCTTGTGATGGTCTCAGCCCTCTCTGGGCCACTTCAGCCTCACATGCAGTTAACACCCAAGGCCCAGAGCCAGAAGGAATTCTGGCTTGACATGCTTAATTGTAGAAGACCTGCGCTGGGCAGGGCTGGCAGCTAGGGGCAGTGTGGAGGGGTTTACGCCTCTCTCCCATTCTTAGTCCAAAGGTTGGTCATCCAGGCTCAGACCCTCTAAATGGGACTCCCGAAGGTAATTCCCACCCCCCAACACGGATGCAGGAAAGGTGTCAGTGGATAACAAAGCCTGAGTCTCCTTGTTCCCAGGGTCTGACCCTGAGCCGACCACTTGTGCACAGCGGGGGAGGGGGTGGGGTGGGGTAATGAGCTGTGATGAAGTGACCACTTAGCGCTAGTCCTGAAGTCTTCTGAATCACCCGATCACCCAGTCAGCTTAGAAACATCTGAGCCAACTTGGTCTACAGTTAAAACACCATCTTCTTAACCACAGCCTCTGCCACATACAATGCCAGTCACCATTAGCACTACGACCTCCACTATCAGTACTACCACTGGCTCCTCACCTCTACCACAAGCACTGCCTCTTTCAGCCCCATATTGGCATCCCCACCATCTTGAGCAATGCCTCCATCACCAGCCACATAGTCTGCATTCTCATCCTGACATGAAACGTTGTCCACCAGCCTGTCCACCACCACCATCTCCAAAACACCAATCCCCACAGCTGCCAGCATCAACCCACACAGTCCACCATGGTGGCACTCCACAGCCTTCTTGCGCCCACTCAGAATGGCCTCCTCACGTTGGTGGCAGGGTCTGGTGACATGAACAGGGAGGGCATGGAGCGAGAGGAGAGGCAGCCATCACTGAAAATCCCTCTGGCCTGGGACTTGTAAGCTGTAGACAGGAAGAACTGTGCTCAGGGACTCTCCAGCAGAAAGAGGCCGCCTGTACATCTCAGGAACGTGAAGACTCATCCTAACAGATCCCTGTCAATATGTTCTTTGAGCATTCTGGCTAGCCTTGAATTTTCCACTCCCACATCACAGGTGAAAATATTATTGAAATGGTTGACCCTCTTAACATGAGAAACCAACCTCTGGCTCCTAGGAAAACATGCACCCTACAGGAGCCTCTCCCCAAAACATACACTGTAAAAAAAAAAAAAAAACACCCGCTGATGTGCACACAGTGTGCACAGTGTACCCTGCCTTTCCCTCTGCTCAGTGGAAAAGAAAGTGGAATTCTTCAGGAAGCCATGCCCATTTATCTAGCCCGAAACAGCCCGTAGGGCATGTGGGTAGGTGACTGTCAAGGTTATATGGAGCAAAGGAGGCCTTGGCTCAAGAGCAGAGTGTCTGCTGAGTGTCCCCAGGCCCCTCAGGCTGAGAGGATGCCCCTGCTCTGGCCCTCATTCAACCCCACGTAGCAAGAGATGGCGTCAGAAGCTCTCCTTGCCCTCACAGCTTGGTTAAAAGTAGGCTTGTTGAAGGAATGAGTGAAAGAACGCATGCCCCAATTTTCTGTGTTACCCCACATCCCAGTGGGAATCAGAAGTGCCCTGCATGAGACTGGCTTAGAGAAATGCAGACATGTTCCCAGCATGACAGATCTAGCTTGAGGGTGGCCCCTATCTGGGAAGGACCTTATGTTCTGCTGCTTCCTCGTGCCATAGCAGCTGGCCCGGAAATTACTGAGCGCACACGTTATTGCTGAGGTTTTTTTGAAGCTCCTGAGGTAAGAAGTTCCTGGTGGGTTTGGGGTGCTGCCCACCGCCTGCCTGCTGGCTGGAACCTTTACTGCCAGACACTTAGTAAAGATTGAAGCTGCAATATGGCCCTCCGGGCCTGAATCGTGTCTCGCTTGGCACTGGGAGCCCCCGCTGTGGCCTTGGGTAGCAGTTATAACCTGTCCGCTTCTAAGGGAGAGCCATGTGAGCCACGTCCTTCAGGGTGCTGGGCTCCTCCAAGGGCCGGGAGTCTGTTAAGGTGGTACAGTGACTGAAGTGTCATCAGGGGCCTCCCAGCTGTGTATCCAGCCCGAGCAGGGTGAAGGAGCCAACAGGGTGCTGGCACTCCAGGAACCCGTCTCCACCCATCCTCCAGCCATGTTAAGGCTCTGATCTTCCCTGACCATTGCGCCTGAGAAACTACTTACTATACTGGTCTCTGGGAAAACTCTGGAGGCAGTGCATGAACTATAGAGCCCGGGGTGGGAAAACGGCAAGGATTTAGAGGTGAGAGGGTGAGCCCAAAGGTGAGAAAGACAGTTAATAGTCAGCTTGACTCGAACTCTTGCTGACCAGAACAACAGTTCTCACACCCTTGAGGCAAGGCTTGATTCCACACCATCAGAGGTGCTGACCTTCCTACCCTTAGAGCACAGTCCATCTCTCCCCTGCAGACACCAGGCCAGAGCGGCGGCTTCTTCTCCTCCTCCTTCTCCTCCTCCTCCTCCTCTTCCTCCTCCTCCTCCCCTCATCCTCCTCCTTCTCCTCTTCTTCTTCTCCTTCTCCTCCTCCTCCTCCTCCTCCTCCTCTTCCTCCTCCTCCCCTCATCCTCCTCCTTCTCCTCTTCTTCTTCTTCTCCTTCTCCTTCTCCTTCTCCTCCTCCTCCTCCTCTTCCTCCTCCTCCTCCCCTCATCCTCCTCCTTCTCCTCTTCTTCTTCTTCTCCTTCTCCTTCTCTTCTTCCTCCTCCTCCTCCTCTTCTTCTTCCTCCTCCTCCTCCTTCTCCCCTCCTCCTCCTCCTCTTCTTCTTCTCCTCCTTCTCCCCCTCCTCCTCCTCTTCTTCTTCTTCCTCCTCCTCTTCCTCTTCTTCCTCCTCCTCTTCCTCTTCCTCCTCCTCCTTCTTCTCTTTTCATATTCTACATGCAATTTTGTCATCTTTGACTTATTGTTCCTCTTGTGAGCCTCGGTTTGGCTCTGGCATAGAAGACAGTGATTTCTCCCTCTGATGCCAGGGTTTCCTTGTATGCTTGTACTTGGGCCTGGGTTAGAGAGGATTTTCTAGATGGCCAGAGCTGGTAGCCAGGGGTCCTGTACAGAGAGGGCTAGACTTGGGAAAGTAGAACCAGTCTGTGAGTGAGACGTGCAAGTGAGGAAGCTGAACTTAGGGCTCAGACGTATCCAGCTGTTTTCTTACTGTGCCCCCACAGGGGGACCCAAACTGAAGTCCTGTTTGCTCCCTAGACCACTTCTCAGAATCTGCAGTCACTGTAGTCCAGGCTCTGTCCCCTGCAAGTGTATCTTCACTGGATGCCCAGTTCCTAACTTTCCTTACCATTTGCCCTCTCTACTTGTAGACACAGCAGAGCTGAGAGCACCAATGAGATCCGTGTCTCTTCCCCTTCCCGCACTTGCCTGGCTCCTCTAAGAGGCCTTTCCTGAACAGGCCCCTCACTGCCAAGCACTGCCTCTTTACTTCTCTGAATGTGGCTCTGACACTTGTCTTATGGCTAAGATGTGAACCCCAACCCCAAAGGCCAGGACAGCAGGTGTATAGAAATGATAGCGCAAACAGCGGCAGCCTGGCCAGAGCAGGTGCTACTTCTCGTTCCAAATTCCAGAATGCTCACAGCACCATGCCGATGGTGGCCTTCATTCTCTCTCCTGTTAAGGGCAAAAGGGCGTGAAGTTGGATGTTTTCTATCCAGCCTGGCAGTCTCTCTTTTTTCAACGGAAGCCTTTATAGTGTTTGCGTTTGATAACGGTTACCAGTATGGCTGGCTTAGCCTCCTGATTTACTGTTCACATGTGAAATTAATTACTTTTCTCCTCTAGTAGCATTTGGAGTAACTGCCAGTACTAGTCAGCAGTGGTGAAGATCCTAGATGGGCACCAGCTCAATTTTTCCCATCTTCGATGATGTAAGTTATGTGTTCAGCAGTAGGACCTTGCCATCAGGCTATGGAGAGTGAGCAACAGCCTTAGTCTAGAATGTTGGGGAGCAAATGGGACCCCTTTGGCCAACATTCTATCTTCAGATAGAACTGCACTCCTTCGCATTCAATGTCAGGACCTTGAAATAGCATCCATCTGTTTCCCCATGCTGCTGCATGCTATTGCCATAGTTTCACATAGGTAAGAAGCCCAAATAATACACTGCTAATATTATCTGTAAACAGCCAATTGTCATCTATAGAGACTTTAAAATTAGACAGTCTTTTCTGTTTACCCAGCTTTGCTGTTTCCAGATTTCATTCCTTATGTAAAAGTGCCTTCCCATTTCACACTATTCCAGCAAGACTTCCTGTGACATTTCTTGTAGTGTTCACTTGATGTGCATAAATTATCTTGTCTGAGAAATGGGTTTGTTCACCTTCCTTTTGAGAGCTGTGTCTGCAGTGTGGCTGTAGAATTCTGGGTTGAACATTCCATTTTTAAAGGAAGTGTTCCACTGACTTTGCACAGTTCTAACAGAATGGCTCCTGCCATTCTCGTGTGGCTGGATGGGGTCTAACATGTCTTCTTCCCTCTGACTGCAAGATTTCCCTTTTGCCCCTGCTTCCCAGTGGTTTGATTCTCAGGTGTGTTACTGTGGTATTTTTAACCTTTCTGCTCAAGGTTCATACATACATACTCACAGCCTGTGGTTATATGGTTTTCATGAAATTTGAGAAACTTCTGTTATCTTCAAGGAATTCTTCTGTCCTTTGCTGCCCTCATTTGAAGACTCACTGTGGGCACTTCCTACTGTGTGCTGCTGCCCAGAGCTCACTGAAATGTTCTTCTATCATTGGTAGTCCCTTCCCCTGGGCCCTTTATTTTCAGTAGAATTTTTTTATTACATGTTATTGATTTGCGAAAATGGGCGCGTATCATAGCACACATTTGAAGGCCAAAGGATAATTTGCAGGAGTCGGTTCTCTCCTTCCACCATGTGGGCTCCAGGGACAGAATTCTGAGCCCTCTCCCTGACCTGGTTTGGGATGTTTCTTTTCTTTTTTTCATTTTCCTGTTTTCTGTTTTCTTTCTTTTATTTAAAATAAGTTCTTTTCTCATATAATCCATATTGCATCCTGATTATGACTTTCCTTTATTCTTTTCCTCCCAGTTCCTCCCCCATCTCCTCTCCCAAAAGGTTCATTTCCCCTTCTGCCTCTTATTAGAAAAGAACAAGCTCTTAACAGATAATAATAAAATGTAATAAGATAATTAAAAAAAACTATTACATTGAAGTGGGATAAGAAAGGCAAACAGAAGGAAAAGATCCCAAGAGAAGGTACAGGAATCAGAGACCCACTCGTTCACACACTCAGGAATCTTATAAAAACACTAAACTGGAAGCCATAATATAAACCCAAAGGACCTGGTACAGACCCAGGCAGGCCCTGTGCATGCTGCTTCAGTCTCTGAGTTCATGTGAGCTCTGGTCATATTGATTTAGAGGGTGTTGGTTTGTTTTCATTATTGTTTTTTGTTTGTTTATTTTTTGCGTGTGTTGTTTTACTGTTGGCCCAGCGACCGCACCTGAATCTACTGCTGTTTCAGCCACTGACTGCAGCTCCACCATCACTCTCCTGCTGCTCAGGCCAAGCCTAGGCGTGACTCCCCTTTCCACCAGAACTGCATGCAGCAAGATGTAGTTTTTAACTTAGTCTCTGTCGTTCTATTTTACCAATAAAGACCTCGGAATCTGATGCTGGGGTGAAAACCTGCTAGCTCAGAGAGGCCTGAGAAGCAGCCAATTGGCCTTCCTCCTTATCCAGCAAGTGAGAGCCTCTCCTTCCATCCCAAACCAAAGACCACCAAACCAAAGTCCCTCCCTACTACTTCCTGTGCATTTCTCTGTTTTCCAGACTCCTTCTAATTCTCTATGCCTACTTCCTGCCAACTAGTTGCTGGCTCTGCCTCCTGACCCAAGGTTTTATTTAATTAACGCAAACTCAAGGTTCACAG